ATGGAAATTAGCGTATCAAGAACGAGTTATCAGAATGAAACGAAATTTTACATACGTAAATAAAACGTTGATTTAAGTAAGTGATTAAAAAAATCAAAGCAAAATAATAATTTATAGCAGGGAAAAAATACTAATGAATGGAGGTTTTAGTACCCTCTTGAGCCACTTCTAACGCGAATATAGGATGCAATACGTCGGGCATTGAAGCATACAAGTCCATGTCCTCCGTCATCTCCTTCCGCAGTTGCGCTGAAAACTCGGAGGCTATCCAACTTCTATCGGATTTTCAAAAGGAAGGGTTCAGCATGGACTCTCTAGACAACTCAATAAATGCCATTTTAACCCTACCACTGTCGCAGCGGTATTATCACAGTTTCGCGCATGCGCACTCGTATCTCTGGTTGATTGCCTGTCCATTGACATTTCTGCTGAATTGTGTTGTATTACTTGTGTTAGTGAGCGGTCAAAACGTTTTAAGACGATTTATTGTGATTATTACTAAGATTTATTGTTGAAATTTAATAAGCGATGGAAATATGAGAAAGTGGTTTCGGCCATTCAATGATGGACACTCCAACAAATTAATCCATATTCTGCTGGTGTCACTCGAAACCTTATTCAACAATTCGATTGAGAGCAGTTTGATCACCCGCGTTACAGTCCTATCTTCGCACCTTCAGACTACCACTTGCTCTTGAGCTTGAAACTTTATTTTGGAGATAATCGCTTTGACAGCTATTAAGACGTAATTACAAAAGAAAGAAAAACTGTGATTAGCAGTGACTGGTCTTTAATGGTGGGATCTTTCTTTGAAAAGGGTAAAGACAAGTTGGTTTCCTGCTGAGACAGATGTCTTAACTATTGTCGTGACTATGTAGAAAAAGGTTTCTAAAATGCTCTTTCATGTAAAAATAAATTATTGAAAAAACTTTTATGTGAGTTATTCTAAAACGGTACTTACGTTCGAGACACGTCTCATTCTGTCGTTGTATAACGACGATAAGTTTGCTTCCCCTAATAAGTTTTTCTGATCTTTTTTGTTTAAAGATTATTTTATTGTAATATTGATGAGGAAACAATTGAAACTAATTAAAAGAAAGAAACCATCGAATTAATTGTTTATCCGATTATTGTTTAAAAGTATTTGTCTGTTGTTCTTTTGAAAGTGGTTGAAACGATTTTTAAACAATGAAAATTTACTATTTTGAAGTTTCTAATTAAGTGACAACGATAGATTAAAAATTATTGATAATCATTGCAAATATTTTACCTCTTTTTGCTCACTTGCCTGTCTATATTTTTCTATCCCCAAATATGATAAATCATAAGAGCGAGCTGTGCTTCATTTTTAGTTTTCCGTTTATTTTATCAACACCCAACTTGAGATGGGTAAACGTTAAATTGAGGTTCTTTCCACCTATGTAAAGAAAAATGCATTTTCGAGAGAAGGAAGACTTGATTTTAATACTCAGCGAAGCGTGGCGTTTGCCTTTAGTAGTGTTAACACCATGAGTGTTTATGTCGAACAATATCCGAAGCTAATTAAAATTATGAACAAAGCTCTCACATTTTCCTCTCTAGTGTAAATACAAACAATGAAACTTAGTACCTTTTTAAGAACTTTTTTATGCATTTTTGTTAATTTATAGCTTTTACTTTGATAATTTCGACCGGCTCGAGTTTATCTTGCCCTCAAACGAGCAATTCCTTCGTATACCTTTATAAAAACTTTCGACTGTACTTAGATTACGGTATGTCCCAGAAATAGATACAAAAAGACATCTATTATTAATGAAAAGTACAAAAAACAGTTAGATAATTCTGTTTGGAATATCAAAGGTAAAACATGCTGTGGAAAACTACTGCGTTCATGCGAGGAAAAAAAAATTGGAATTTTAAAAATAAATTAATATAAATGACTAAATATGTAATTTTACAAGTTTTCATTCGTTACGATTGCAGTGTTAATGAGTTTTTTTTTTTTTTTTTTCTCTTTGGAAATTAATGCCGTATGCACAATCACAAAGCGTCGTTATTCAAGTCCATTTCGCCCTTAAAGGCAAATTAAATCTTATGTTTTCTGTTTTATATTTGAAGAAGTTTTTATCTTTAATGTTTCCGTCACTCTTTCCAAATGTATTTGTTGCTTCAATATATTTTATACGTTTAAAATAAGTTATTAAAAAAAAATTCGCTAGCAGTGTTTACTAAGCTGTTGTGTTATCGACATGGCGGCAAAGGACATTTGAAAGAAACTCAGAAGAAAAACACCAAAGGTCGAATCTATTCACTCGATGGAATTTGAATTTCCTCGACGTATTTCATTTGAACTGAAATTTTTGTAACTTCTTCTTTTATGCAATAAATTTATTTTTAAATTAATTGGACTATCTCTGTATTTTGAACTGTTTAGTATGACGAAAAAATCTAAAGTTTTTTTTTTTTTCTTTAACAGAAAGTTCAAAGATTCAGAAAGTTAAAAGAAAAATCGATTTTTTCCCCGTTTGTACTTTTCCGAAAAATATACATTTAAAAAATGTAAATATTGAGATAAAATGTGTTTATAATTTCTGTTACTCTTTTTTATTTGTAGAATAACAGATGACTGTTCTTTTCAAGTTAATGATAAAATCAAGTGTGAAATTTTTAAATCATATTTTTTGTGTGTAGTTTGCTGCTTTTGTACCCTTGTGCCAACAAGAATAATCGATGTTCATATTCGATGTTTTTTTAGACGAAAAATTACTGTGAAATGGAGAATAACAGTCTTAATCATACCCAATTTCAAATAAATAAGTAAAATATAACTGTTTCCTCAATAAAAAATAAGTAAATAATTTGCCGTTTTTGGGCGGGATATAAATTTTAAAAAAAGGAAGTTTTTCCAACCTCACTTTCATAATTGAAGATTTAAAATTCTATATTTTCAAAAAATTTAAATTTTTAAAAAATTTTCGACGTTACATCAAAATTTGAGACGTCATACCATAACTAATATCTTAAATCCTGATAATCAAGTACCAGAATTCAAGTTTTAAGCTTAAAATTTTTTTGCTAGTGGCCGTATACAATTTATGTCACGCTTAACTAGGGAAGAAGGAATTCGTGGAATTATGCCAGTTTATGGTAAGGGGTTACAAGATATGTGACATTACGAATTTTGATTAATACATCACTCGTTGCTAATCTCGTACCAGCGCAGACTCCAACGCTAGTGACTATCAAGCGCTGGTGCGAAGTCTGCAGCAGACGCATTTTAAAGAAAAACAATTAAAATCAACAGCTTTAATATTTTTAAATTATTTATTTTGCGTTTATTTTTAAAAAGATAAATATGCTATTTCTTTCTGAAAATTTTGTTTTGCATTCTCTTTATTCTATATTATTTTATTTATATCATAAACCACCATGCTTATTAAGGTTAAATTAAATTAATGTTCATTTTCACGAAATTGAACACCTATGAGAGAGATGCCAAAATGCCTGGTGTGTTCAATAAACAAGCATCTAACCTTGGTGGCTCAGTGGATATAGCGTTCGCCTTCTAATGAGGTACCGGGTTCGATACCCAGCAATGGCTGGTCGATATGAATTCCGTTTCCGGCTTGCACCAACCACAGGGCTGTCGTAAAATATCCTCAGTGGTAGACGGATCATGGGTTATAGTCCCCTGACAGTCAGGCTGACCGTGAGAGGTTTTCCTCTCCATGCAACGTAGGGATTAGCGCGCAGGGCTAGGGATTTCTTGAAACTTCAGCCTCTGCAATTTCGTGACAAACACCATAATAATATCACTGGCAGCTTTTATTTCCTAGACAAGCCTGTCTGTTACAAGCTGGGTGGGCTTCAAATTGCCGCTTGTGAGTCCTTCACGACAACAGTTCAGTTCTTTAATTGCTATGACATTGTGACTTCCATCTTGAATAACAGCAAGTAAGAACATAACTCAATTCCCCATATTTCTTATAAGATATGTAAGTGAAGTTTATGTAATCATATTTAGTTTTCTCATGCTTATTGTATAGTGTCTTTGTAGAGAGCATTAAGTCTAGTTCATTTGGTCAAAATACTAAGCATATGTTAGTCTTAAAATGCATTAAGGGGTTAAAAATCTCAAATATCAATAATATAGTACAGTCGAACCTCGACCCATCGTTCCCGCATCATTTGTTTTCCCGACTTGCATCGTCTTGTTTTTTAATAGTCCCGTCAATTATGCTATCCTTATAATGCTTATAATATACCCGTTTAGATCATTTTTCAAACTAGCTTATTCTCGCGTCTATCATTCAAAAATTCGACCATCATTAAAAAAAAATATTTTGAAGTAATTCTCATTTTAATGATAAAGAAAATGAGGATTTGTTACAGTTTGAAGGAAATGCCTCAAACAGCACATTAGATGATTATGCATCAATTGATGGAAATGTTTAAAAATGATTGAAAAAGCTGAAGAAGTGCAAAGTGATGTAGATAAAGATGACGAAACAGAACCACAACAGGTGACAACGTTTTCAAAAGTCCTCAAAGCTTTTGAAACTATGAGGAACTTTCTGCAATCACTTGAACTTACAAAAATGAACAGCAATCTATTTCAAATGTTGAAAATTTATTGTATGAGAAGGAAAGAATAGAATGTGGTCAAACAATAATTTCCAGATATTTTAAATAAAAATGTATGTCAATCAGTTTTCTTTTGTAAGTATAGCTTTATTTTGTTTACTACTTTTTTTCACATTAAGTATGTACTTTTTTTAATCAAAGCAATTTTTTAATAATTAATTTCCAAGTCTATTGCTTTTTATTATTTTACATACATTTTCTAGTCATTATTTGATGTTTTATGTTAGCCCGCATTCGTCGTTTTTCCGCATCTATCGTTCATAATGAATGGTTCCATGAAAAACGGTAGATCGAGATTCGATTGCATAAATTTGTGTTAAGTATAAATATGTATGTGTATTTTTGATAAAAGATTAAAATATTTGTTTCATTCATAGGTGCAGCTCTTCTCCAAAATTAAAGCCTTGCCTCGTAAGTCGCATGGGTGACCATATAGAGTCTTTGTCTTCTCCTTCAAGTAGTGGAAGTTCTAGAGATTCCCCACCATTAAATTCTGACCCAATACCAAAGTCTAGTGTAATTTCTTCTGGGCCCAAAAATAAGTAAGTCATTTCAATTTTTTTTCTATTGAAGGAGTACATATTTTTAATGTAAATTTTTTTATAAACATTCCCATTTTTTTATTTTTAAATATTTTCAAACTATAGTATTCTATATTTCTTTTGTTTATACTTTGTAAATTTCTCCTTTAAGTGCTGATGACACTAGGCAACCAAGTGGAGGCAACTAAGTTAAGAAACCGGTTTTTGGTTTCTCGTTTGTGATCACACGTTACAACCTTCACTTGTTCAACCAACTCTGAATAGTCCAATACCAGAACGGCACTGGTATTGGACTATTATAGTATATAACAGTTCAATACCGGAACTTATANTGTTCACATTGTTCTATTCAACGTTTTCACAATTACTTCAACCCCAATCTATTTCGGCGCATCGTCAGACCGTAGCTTATGAAAACGCTATTCGATTTACAAGATTTAGAAAGTTTGACAATTGTCAAAAACAATGCCAAAAGAATTATTTTTTGACATGACTGTTAAAACCAAATAATACCGTCAATTGTCAAAAACTTTTCCAGGCCTGCCTAATTATGATATTCTCTTAAAGTGCTTAAAATATTATTAGAGTGCTTAAAAGGTACTTAGTTTTTGTTGAATAATTTGGCTACGCACCCTGTACAAGTTATGAGTTCTTATTCTAATTTTTTTTTCTTTTTTATATTCCCCCCTTTACCTTTTCGAGAGACAACTCAATCTGAAAACATGGATACCTATATACTTTGTGCTGTTTTATAAACTCTTTTTCAAAGCTAATTGAAAACTCTTTTGCACACAATTATAAAATGAGTTAATTCAAAGATAATTCCTTCCGAAAAAAAAATTAATACTTATTTATTGCTTTAATTAATACTAACTTATCTGAATAAATATTTTGAATTCTGAGGTTTACAAACTCTTACATCGTTTTAAGGAATGTAATTTTATATGGCTAAAAAGAAAATGCGAACGTAATCGGTCGAATAGTTCCTTTGAAATCGAATTTTAAATATCTGACTTTTTTAAAATTCAATTTATCAGGAAATTTTTCAGGAATTTAAAAAGAAAAAGAAAAACAGAATTGGTCAAATAGTGTAAATCGAGAATGACACATCGAGACATAGTGTTAAAAAATAATTTATTTATTTATATTTTTTTTAATCTTTGATTAAAAAGTAAATCAGAGTAAGAAAAAAAAATTTTCTGATTGCTTACCTAAATTCCAAAGCGACGTTTCATTAAAACAAAAATCCTGCCTATTTTCTTAAAACTAACATGACATAACACACGAAAAGAAAGGGTTGGACAAAATTATGGAAATACTTACTCACTCCGTGGCAGATTCGCGGCGACATTGACGCAGAACGTTTCAGTTCTTTCAGAAAACTTTTCCTTTGAGAAGTAAGAAATTTTAGTTTACTTTTTTGCTGAAATTTTCTGCTGAATTATTATCAAAATATGCGTTTCTTGCTCATCGGAGGGGAAAGAAATGCTCGTGATTTTTCTATTCTCATTTGAGAATAATAATAATGATCAATAATGACTAGCTTCAGCTAAAATTTCAAATATATATATATATATATATATATAGGGGAGAGTTGGGTAGCCCCGCCCAGCGGGTACCCCCGCCCACTGTCAATTTCATATGTATAGAATATTTTTTCAAGTCAATGGGCCATCGGACATTAATTGTTACATTAAAAGAATATTATTTTCCAAGTTTCAAGTATTTATGCAGCTGTTAACATGGTAAACAATAGTTTTGAAAATATGTTGAATACAGTAGTCATGAAATTAAGAAAAATTGGTTGAATGTTTCGATTAAACTTCATTTTAATACTAAAAAAATAATTTTTTCTATACATACAGCATTAAAGTATGTAGTCTTAAGTTTAATTTGCACAA